GAAGAGTCAAATTCATAGAGACAAAATGTAGAATGGTGGTTACCTGGGGTTGTGAGGGGGAGAAAATAGGGAGTCATTATTCAATGGGCAAATTTTCAGCCTGCAAAGATGAAAAATTTCTGGATAGTGTGATGGCTGCCCAACAGTATGAATGTAATTAATGTCACTGTACCATACACTTAAAAAATGGCTAAAATGGTAAATTGGGTTGTCTATATTATACCACACACACACAAAAGAATCCTAGTCATCCTAATTCAAGATTTTTATTCCACTGATTTAAATAGGTTTCAAACCTGCCTATCTTTCATTAGAATCGCACAGAGATCTTTTAAAAATTCCAAAGCCTAGACCACATTCCCAGGTTAATAAACAGATTATTTTTTTAATCTCTCAAAGTGATTCCATATCCATACAAGTTTGGGAACCACTGCATTAATCTGTATTTCTGTAGCTCTCAGAGTGATTCTTTAAATTCCTTAAATTTATAGGTACAATTGCAATATCAAATATCCTTACCATATCTCAATGAACAAAAGATATATATTAAAATCCAGAATACGACACCTTTATCTGTGAATTTTATATACTTCAGCTCACTTAGTGAACACATTACTTACATTATATAGTAGAGAATACTCAGGAAGCAATGACTTTATTTTGGTTTACAACTTCAAGTGCTCAGCAAATACAGCATCTCCCTAGTATTTTTAAGTCTTCTGTTTTACTATTTTCTATAACTTAGGTGAGACCTAAGGTGAGACCTTAGGTGAGGTGAGACCTCCCTGGTGGCCTAATGCAGATCACATGATGTGGGTTCGATCTCCGGTCAGGGAACTAAGATCGCACAATGCTGTGTGACACAGCCAAAAGATTTTTAAAAATAATAAAAAATAAATAAAATAACACATAGGTACAGGAGATAACAGAGATCTACAGGGCACAATCTGTCTCATTTTTTCATGCCCTATAATCCAGCTCCAGTACCTGCAAGATGTATGAATTCCAAGAAGTTCCTTAACCTCCCTATTCTTCAGATTTAACAACTGTAAAATGGACTAACAGGTCTGTTTTGAAAACTGATTTAACACATATTAAACCCTGATTTCAAACATGGCCTGGTCAGTTATGCTTATGAAAAGGTTTCTCATTCCCTTCTCCCCTTCAGGAAAAAAAAAATTTCTCTATTATCATTCATATCTAAAATCAACAGTTCAAAAAGACAGATTTGTATGAATCTCTTAAGAATCACAGTAAGAAATAACAGTAAGAAAAGCTTAATAGGAAGGAAAAAAAGAGAAAAAAGTCTTTCCTCGTACTAAATTTTTCTCAAAAATGTTTCTAGAAAGTATGAACATGGGGAAAATTGACCATGCAAATCCTAATGACTCAAACATCACAGAGAAATTTCATTAGGTCGTAAGTACTATTATATCATCACTGAGGACTTCAGAATAATGATAGACTAAGCTAAAAGGAGGAAAAATAAGACAGTAACCATGCCCAACTTAGCAAATAATGGACATCTTGACAGAAGATGGAAGTTTCCCTATTTTTGAGTCTCAAGTACACTCCCAGTTTAGCATATAATTCCAAGAGGGTTCATCACTGTTGATGCAAACCAATATACACATGACTATCAAGCACTTGTAAATGAAGCCAGACCACGCTGAGATGTATTCTAAAGTACAGAATGCATATTAGATTTCAAAGACCTAGTTTAAAAGAAGTAAACTACCTCATTCATATCATTTGCATATGTAATTACATACTGAAATATTTTAGATATATTGGGTTAAATATATGAAAATCAGTTTCACTTTTAAAAAAAACTTTCTTTAATGTGCCTACTGCAAGATTTTAAAATACATATGTGACTCATACTATATTTCTATTAGTGCCATCTTAGAAGACAAGAAGAAAGGAATTGAGTCCTTAGAAAACATAATAGCTTCCCTAGAAGTTAAGTTTTCAAAGATATTGAGGAACCCAACCAAAGGATATCCCACAGCTATATAAAATGGCTACTAATACGCCACCTTAAATCTTGTGGTGCTTATATTTAAATAAGATGGAGTTGAAGGGACTGTGTAAAAGCCACAGGTGAATGAAAGAAAACAAAGCTTTATGAGTGAAGTTTAAAGTAGTCTTTCAGTTACTGCCCAACTCCCCAAAAAAACCCCAAAACACAAAAAACCTTAACTGACTTCTTTAGTGATGCTAAGGCATTATTTTAAGTGTAAAGGCTCTGGTGTAAGCAATATCATCCAAAAGAACTTTCTACAATGATAGAAATATTCTATATCTATACTATGCAATACAATAACCAGCACTCATAAGAGTATTTGAAATGTGGTTTAGACAACTGAGGAACTGAATTTTTATTTTTCAATTCACTGAAATTTAAATAGCTACAACTGATTGGTGGCTACTGTAACAACAGCACAGTTCTAAATAAAAATGGCAAAGTCCTGTCCAATCACCTTACTAAAGCCTGCAGCTTGCTCCATGGCTATTTACATATACAGAACTTCCAATCAGCATTTTAGTGCCCAGAAGTCTTAAGAGTAGAAAAGGAGATAATTTAGACATCCAGGATCTCAGAAATATTACTTCTTATGTACTCTCTTCTCAGGAAACTACAGGTAGATGGGCAGTACCAAAATAGTAAGACAAAAAAACAAAACATGAGATCCAGGGAATATGTGACCCAACACAGACAAGAAGGCAAAGCAAATTCCCAAGATGACTACTGTGAAACAGGCCTAATAGAACAAGTCCAAACCAGAACAGAACAATGAAGGGCTCAAACAGGGATACTGAGAGAGAGTAAGAAGAAACTAAAAGATTACAGAAACTCCTTAAAGGCAGAGGGGAGACTTATACTTCCTGTAGATAGCCTAGGGGCGAATTACCAGTAAGTATACAGATAAAGCAAACTTTATCTGTAAAGAGCCAAAGAAATATTTTAGGCATTGTGGGATCATCAGTCTCTTATCACAACTATTCAACTCTGCTGGAGTGTGAAAGCAGGCATAAAGTAATTAAAAAATGAAGGAACAAGGCTGTGTTACAATGAAATTTACAAAAACGGGGGGCAGGCTATATCTGCCCTGTGAGGAGGTAGTTTACCAAGCCCTGACATAGGTAATTAAGGGAAAAAAGAGGTAATCACATTAACACTGGGAAAAACAAAATTATAGAGAGGAAATGGATTGTAATCCTACATGCTATATGGCTCACTAAATATTTATAAAATTATAATAATAGAAACAATAGGTACTTTTTTTTTAACAAATCTCATAACTATATTGGTAAGATAAGGGAAAAAAAAGAAGGGACAGGAAAATTGAGTATCTCAGTATGCCAATGTCCAAGTAGTAGGGATGGGAGTTGGGAGATGACTGGGGTGGAGGGGATGCTAAGATAGCTAAATTATTAATAGAAGACTAAATCCTGAATAACTGAAATAACAGAAAACTCAATAATTAGTATTTGCTTGTAAGTTTTTAAACAGGTAAATTAAAGTTAAGTTAGAAGAATTTAAAGGGATTGCCTCTGAGGAGCACATCTAGTAGTTGGGGCTCAGGATTACAGGTTCTTTTTAATTCCTGGTAATCAGCTTGAATTCTTAAAATTGCCTACCTACTATCTATTCTCCATTTCTTCTTACTAACCAAGGTTTATTTTGCTCAGAGTGGCAATGTTCCCATATAAAGAGTGTTTATCTCAATATAGCCAATGATATGTCAGCTAAAATTTACAGAAAAGAATCTAATTTCTGATCCAACGGTCACCCCTTCTCATCCCCTCCGTCCCTTCCTCTTCCTGCCTGGAATCCACTGTGAGTAAAGTCTGGAGATGCAACACTTACTGGAACCATGATGATAAAAGCTAAAGGCTAGAGATAAAAGAGCAGAAAACTCCAGGGAACCTAAGTTTTGATGACATCATTGAACGTATCTTCCTCCAGACTGTTATTAAGAAAAATCAATTCCTACATAAGCTAGTTAGGACTTTTTTGTCATGGACAACTGAATGCACTCCTACCTTGTACAACTATTCTTTTGACAATAAAGGTTTATTTTAATTTTCATAGAGAAAAAATGAAAGCCTTGATATGTCTTACCTACTCATCAATTATAATGAAACTAGAAAGGGAAGTTTACAAAAAATTTCGTGTGTGCATGAAAAAAGATGTGCACCTGACATAAAATGACATCTCAACAATGATTACAACCATCCATCTTTCAGGGAAACTAATAAATTTCCTTCATTTTTTCTTTTCCCATATCCCATCTTACATACCACTGTTTCATTTCTCTCGAAGCCTTAACTAATTCAATAACTGCTTGCGACTAAATCTTCTAACAGATTACGCCTCATATTATTTAAACCAGAGAACTGTAGTAACCTAAAGGTTTTATGTGAATACATCTTAAAAGTCTTCTGTGCCTCTAACTGCAACCATCCTACACATTAGCATCATGAATTTGCTCAATTCAAAGCTAAAGAAAATCATAAGCACCCCAAAAGTAAACATGTCCTACATAGAAACATACAAATTTAAATAACTTTAATTAAAGCAAAAAGATGCTGAGAATGAGGATACCTCAACCCAATCATGACTATAGATCACCATCTAAAAACAGATATTAATACTGCTTAATTTTAACAGAGTACCATGAATGTATTTCCACTAATACTAAAAAATATATATACTTCAATGTGTAAGTCTCTGCTTTCATCTCACATTTTTCCTATTATCCCAAATCAAAACTTAAGCCACTGTACTGACACACAGCCTATCCGTATTACAAGAAAATTCTTAAAATGTGTAAAGAGAGAAAGAAGGAGTCTGAGAAAACTGAATACTTATAGTACTTTGCCAAAGTTAACCTTGTGAATGTCTGTGAGATATTAGTTTTATCACACATTCTATAGTCATTAATATTAACAAGCCTAAAGAAATATCAAGTAAGAGTTTAAAAATAGCTTACCTTTTATTCATAGGTTTTTCATCTTTTTCATAAGGCTTTACAAACCACTTGCCAATACGTACAAAGTTCCGGTTCATTAAACACCGTTCCAACAGATTGTGAACTGCTTTGAAAAGCAAAGTTCGGCATTCATAGGAAAGTCCATTCTCCCACACTCCATCTTCCTCTTCTATAAGAGAAATGAAAGAGACAAAAAGTAACATAGAGGCGCTATATCTACTCAGAGCTAAACTGAAACTATTACAGTTTAATCCCTAAATTCATAAACCCTACTTCACCTCAGAATATTGAGCTATGACCACTTTGTCTCTCTAGACACTAAAACATCAGGTTTCAAAGCTAATCCATAGAGAATAAAAGGCCAAAGTGCCATGTACTCTATTAAATTACCTGAAAATTATTTTCCCACCATATAAAAAGGCAATGATATATCACAAACATACTGATTTGGTTTCTGCATAAATGAACAGGACATTTGTATAACCAGGGGAAATACCACACACTCTATACCTAAAGTGCCAATTTCTAAGTTGACTCACTTGTTAGTTACTTTGTCCTAACTTCCAGTCATTCACCCTGCCAAAAAAAAAGAAACTAGACAGTTAATAATTAAACTCAAAACATTTTATGTCCATCAGCATTCTAATCCATGACTTAACTATAAAAATAAGTCATGGATAAAAAGGAAGCTTCTGGCACAGAGCCTAACAAGTAGTGCATTATCAGCCACCTTAAGTCTCATTTCAACCAAATGATTCCCATGCTTACTATTTAGTATAAGATTCTCTACATGGGGGAGAAATTAAAAATTTTAAAGACAAATTTTAAATGGTACTTCTGATAGAAAGTTATGTTGGTAGTTTAGTCGCCAAGTCGTGTCCAACTCTCTGTGACCCCACGGACTGCAGCACGCCAGGCTTCCCTGTCCTTCTCACCATCTCCTGGAGTTTGCTCAAACTCATGTCCATTGAGTCAGTGATGCCACCCAACCCATCTCATCCTCTGCCGCCCCCGTATCCTTTGGCCTTCAATCCTCCCCAGCATCAGGGTCTTCTCCAATGAGTCGGCTCTTCGCATCAGGTGACCTAAGTATTAGAGCTCTAGCTTCAGCATCAATCCCTCCAATGAAAATTCAGGGTTGATTTCCTTTAGGATTGACTGGTTTGATCTCCTTGATGTCCAAGGGACTCTCAAGAGTCTTCTCCAGCACCACAGTTCAAAAACACTATTTCTTTGGTGCTCAGTCTTCCTTATGGTCCAACTCGCACATCTGTTCATGACTACTGGAAAACCGTAGCTTTGACCATACAGACCTTTGTCGGCAAAGTGGTGTCTTTGCTTTTTAATATGCTGTCTAGGTTTGCCAGATCTTTCCTTCCAAGGAGCAAGCATCTTTTAATTTCATGGCTGCAGTTACCATCCACAGTGATTCTGGAGCCCAAGAAAATAAGACCTGTCACTGCTTCTACTTTTTCCCCTTCTATTTGGCATGAAGTGATGGGACCGGATGCCATGATCTTGGGTTTTGCAACCTATAGATTTGCCAGCAAATCTATTAACCACTCCAAGTGAAGTTACAAAATAATAATAATAATAACATAGTCATTTTGAGATAAATATAGATGTGGTTCAGAAAAAAAGCTTTTTACTCTCTATCCATTTATACCTATAAGAAAGCATCCAAGGAATCCTACTATAAATAGGAGCTACTGCCATCAACATTTTAACTTTTGGAATATTTTAATTTGCTATTTCAAACATAAAATAGTGTGGCATACTCCTATAGTCTATTTAACTTTATAAAACATTTCTTAAGTATGGACCTTCTTTCAATTTAAGTAAAAAAAAAAAATCTTTCTTAATTCAACACTAAAAATGCATATCCCATCCCAATAGAAAAATAATAAACCATGATGCTTTAGAATAAAAGCAGAGACACACATTAAGAGTGACAGATGGCAAACATTCATAACTTATACAACAAATGAGTAGAATAAACATTAACTCAAAAGCACAATAAGCACAATAACAGTGGACTTTAACTTCACTAGAAATTTGTGCCACTACAAAAGTTAATGTCGATTTTATGTTGCTCATTAAAATGCTTCCTAAATTATAGTCAGTCTTTCAAATCAACTGGTTTTTCCAAAAGATAAGCTTTTTAAAAATGAGAAAAGCTTTATAAAATGACCATATATGAGAGTTGAGATAATTTTTAAATCATTAATAATAAACAGAGAAAGTTCTTCATACTCTGTATTATAGACATCCTTATCTACTTCCAATTAAAGCCAAAATTTCACAAATTTCACTTTATTAAAGAAAACAGGAGGCTAGAAGAAAAGGGAAGTGGCACATAGTGGCTTCACTTTATTTAAAAAGTCTAGATCACAAGCATATCTGTGAGTTGTTGAGAGGGGGGAGGAAAAAAAAAAATCAAACCTTTCTCAATCTGCTTTTAGTTTAATCAGCTTCTATCATTTCAAAATGAAAGTTACACTAAAAGTTTTATCTATAATTATGTGATTTATGGTTACTAAAAGTACACATATTCTTAATTTCAAAAGAATTATGCTGGAATTCTTCACTTCTTTATAAACTAGTGTACTTTTTATAGCATTTTACCTCAAAAATCCTTACCTTCTAAGGAAGTGCAATGGAGTCATACACAAGAAGCCCCTACCAAAATCTTTTCTCAAACTACTTCTAAGTTTCAAAGCAACAAAGAACCAAAACACAGATACCATTTCATTTCAAACATCTACAGTCACTATAAACTTCAACTATCAGAAAATTATTCACTTAAAACTTGAGACTGAATTCACCTTCTTACCCAAAAGTTAAAAATCTCTAAAATAGTAAAAGCTGTAATACAATAATTTTTATAAATTTTCACATATTAAGATTTTATTTTTAAAAATCTATTTCAGTTAAACCTGTATGTAGTTAAACAGTTTAAGAAAACTAAATACAGCTTAGAAAATTAATCAGTATTAATATTCAAGCATTTCTCTCTTATTGCTCTAATTGTGTCTAGAGAAACTCAGGTGAACTTAATCTTCATTTTACATTAAACCCTCAAATGCCCACAATGCTCATTAACACTAAATGGGAGTTATGCATAAAACAACGATCTATCTGATCACCTGTCAGAGGATTTTCTAAGGCCAACAAATCTCTTAAGCACATCTTCACCTATACGGTAGGTAACTAAGCAACCATTACACTAAATAACAGTTTGATTTTTCATTGTTGAGGAAATAAAAATAATTCCTAATAACATTCAGAGAAAAGTCGGAAGGTTTTTTTTTGGGGGGGGGGGCAGGGGGGTGTCACTTAGAAAGAAGACTACTAAGCCAAGCTTCTATCTTGATACTATAATAACCATAATAAAAGTACTTCTCCACATCTTGTATTCATAGATATAAAAAACAAAATGGTACAACCAAGCCACCAAAGACATAGTGGCATACACCCCTCACATTAATTAAAATAAGTCCTTGTATCTCAACACCAGCATAACAGAAAAGGGTGGGAGGGGGAACACAAGGCAAATCTTTACTCTTTTGAATTTAATTAACCACAGCCTAATGGAGAAAGTCTGCTTAATGTATTTAAATAAATGTTTCCCTCCTCTTCTATCTGTATCCCCAGAGAAAACAGTTTCAATTCTGTGTTTCTAGTACTTTTCTGTTACCCTTAGCATTAGCACTCTTAACCGTTATTGTTACTTGAAAAATCTTTACAAAATATTTGAACAATGAGTAAGTTCAAATGATAAATTTGATTTCCATAATTTTTGAGGATACAGATTATAGTGAAACAAAAGGATGTGACAGGTCATCAAAATAATTCTCTATGAGTAGGGGGAAAAAAATAAAAACAAAAAAAATTTTTGATATACCTAAGTATTTGTACTCAATTTTCTCAAAACTGACATCTTTACATATCCTCATAGCGGTAAGCCAGTAAAAAAGGAATCTACCTAAGTCAGTCTGCTAAGCTACTAAAATGCAGCATATACTAAAAAATAATAAATGGGTCAAAATTGAAATGCTGAAAATGCTGACGTTGAATGAAATGAAAACATTGAGAATGCTATGCATTTCTTGAAAGAATAAAGAGAATGTTTAAATGTCTAGTTTAGCACCTGTCTTGAATAATAATTGCCCATTCATAAGCTGTTCTTTCAACAAATTGCTGAGAGCCTTAAATTGGCAGCATTATTGATCAGCAAAACCTGAAAAACACTGGTTTAAAAGCAGCCTCTTATGTTTATCTTTGATTTGAAGATTTAAAAAATACACTTTTCTTGCTTGATAGTACACAGAAAAGCATGTCAATGTTGTCTCTAGAAGACATAAATGTTGTCCCTAGCAAACATAAAAAATTGGATCACAAGTAAATTATGCAACAGAAGACAGAAATGAATTAACTCTCTTCAGGCTACCTGGGGCATAAAATAAATTTTTAGTTGACTAACACTAGACTGCTTTACTTGGCTGCTATTTATCTATTTGTCAATCTTGTTAAAGTTGTCACTTAATGTTAAATTCCACTGCAATTAATATCCTTCAGTAAAAGCATCCAAAATTAAATTCTAAGACTAAACAATGACCTATTTGACAGTATTTACAATGAAATTGTTATAATAAAAGTATTTGAATATGTCACTAAAATCCTGCATAAATACCACAGGAGCCAGGAAAAAGAAATATTTTTAGCCCTGACTGATTCTGTTTTTTCAATTCTCAGGGTATCAGTTTTCTCAGAGTCTCATCACATTCTAGCTACTATAATTTTTTTAAGACACAAACCTCAGAGAGGGGGTAGTTGTTTTATTTTTGTTTCAAAGGAAAAATTAAAAGCCAATAGTGACAACAATAACCTTCAAACTGAGGGTTAAAGTATATATCAAATCAGATTTGGCTTTCTGTGAAAGACTTTTACGAATTAGCAGTAAAACATTCTATTTCTACACATTAGCAAAACTTGAAAGGAAGGTGACCCAAACACGTGCTACATGTAAAAGACAGGCAGAAATTAAAAATGCACTATGGAACCTGACCAGACTCTTCAGAACTATCAAGATCATTAAAAATAAAGCAAGTCTGAGAAACTGTCACAGTCTAGAACAGTCAAAGGAAACATGACAACTAAATGTAACATGGTATCCTTGACGAGATCATAGGATTAAAAAACGACATTAAATAAAGGATAACTAAAGAAACTGTCGATTTTAGGTAATACCAATATATCAGTATTGTTTCATTAGCTGTAAAAAATGTACCATTTTGATGGAAGATGTTAACAATAAAAGAAACTAGGTGAGGGTAACTCAGGGAACTCTATACTATCTCTGTTAAATTGTATGTAAATCTATACCTATTTTAAAACAAGAAGTTACTTTAAAAAAATACACTATGAATGACACAAATGAAATTAAGGGGGTGAAGCAAAAGCAATTTTGTACTTTTATTACTGACTTAATATGAAAAACTGAGAATTCTCATCTGCAAAAAGGAATGGCTCCTGCCTTCTTTCACCAAGAACGGCAACGTTACTGCCACAATCACAAATATTTCAGCAACAAGATGTGGTAGCTGCTGAACCAGACAGACACTGCCCGCAAACAGCAGGCCCAGCTGCATTAAGAAGCTCTCAGTCGCCACCTGGGCCCTTCCGGTTCCCGTCCCCTTGCTGCCACACCTCCACTTGGACTCAGCGCTGCCTCCAGCAGCTGAGGCCACCCCACTGCCCAGCTGCTCTCTTCTCAGGGGAGCTTCAAAGAAGGGACGGAGTGCCACAGATGGGGAGAAATGAAAAAGGGGTTAGCTCGAGAGACAGCGGCAGACTAATTACCCCAAAAGGGAGGCAGACGGTGTCCCTGGAGCAAAGAAAAGGGCGAGACAAATATACTCCATCTAAAAAGACCTTGTTATTCTTTAAGATATGTCTGATTTAAGTAAAAACATTTCAAGTAAATGACAGGTTAAAAAAAAGCTATAACATTATAAAAATACCACTGGCTACACAAACTGTTTCAAATAGTACCAGACAGACTTTTGAACAGAAAGTATGATTACATACAACCATTAATATATTTAGCTTTACTATTTTAATTGCTTTCACTGATAAATTCTTAATTGGCATTCAGCAAAATCTGATAAGTAAAGCCTAAACTTCCAAAATTACTTTCATTATGTTCAAATAAATATTTTAAAGTATAGGCAGCACTATTTTAAATAATTATGCTTACAAGCAAACTAGAGAAAAAAATTTAATAGCTGTGAAGTTTCAGGAGAAAACCTATTTAAAATAGAAAAAAAAAGTACCCACATAGTATTTTAATATACATCACGCCAATTCACAATTAACTTCAATAGGCTTTTAATTTCAAAATGTTAGTCCTACTAATGTAAGACTAATACTACATAACTGTTAAGATTATGTTTGAGTCCACAAAATGTATTTCATGGAATCTGGGAGAGAAGGGGTGGGGAGAGGGAAATGGTCTGTTCAGATGTTCTAACTTTATTAACAAGTCTGAAACTTCCAAGTCAGCATAATAGTTTATCTATATTATCAGTAATACTAAAAGTCTTCAAATATTTTAGTAAGGTGGTTTTTATAATCACGTCAAGATTAAAATAACTCAAGCATACTTAAAGCCAATGAAAGAAAAAGGAAGCTGGCAGGCTTAGTTTTTGGCATGACAATTACAAAGCATCACCTTGCTGATGCTGTAAAGGAATATTATACCCTGATGTATATGCATGCATCATATACACATACATATATACAAACTCATCATTTAATATATTCAGAACCACACTACATACTTAAAACTAAGGGCTAGACTATCCAGCAGGATCTTATTAGAAAAGCTGGAAAGCACTGATCATAAAAGAATTGCAACCACTCTCAAAAATAAATATTAAGACTGAAGAGTTTGTTCATTTGAAGATAAAAAATGTGACACACACATTCCTGCACAAACACTGGTCTTAAGTGCTTGTTTGAGATAGTCACCTGGATTACATACATCCAAAAATAAAATAAGTTCTATAGATAAAATAGACAATAATAGAAACTCCAGAGTACTTGATTCCAATAAGGAAACTTTTTCAGTTATCCAAAAATCCCAAATTTTCTCGTCAAGAATCATTATGTTACATCTTACTGAAATCTTTGGTACATTGCAGCAAATAACTAATCATTTACATTCCTATCATCAAAGATTCAGTTAAGAGGGACTCTAAAGTAAACACAAGCTTCAGTATTACATGAAGAGTTATAGTTTCTCTTTTGAAAGTAACATTTGGTCCTAAATATCAAGAAAATAAGAGAGAAGTAATCTTATCAATTTGCTCATAATAAAATCACTTCCCAAACTTTTCAGATTATGACACATGTCCCACTATAAAAGCCAAACAAGTTGGCACTGTTTCATATCAAAGACAGTCTTTGATGCAACAGTACCTAAAATAAAAGAATCACATTCCAAGAATAAGAAAATTAACATATGCCTTCATTTGTTAATAATGGAACAACCACAAATAAAAATACTGAAATAACTATATGCCTAGGGGGGAAAAAAAAAACAAATGAGAAAGTTACAATGTTTGCAGATACTTCTACAACTGTGTACATATTTACACAGAACAGAGTGGTAGCAGAACTGACTCAAACATGAGTTACACTTGGTTTCAAAAGTATTTTTTGACTTTGTTAGGAAATGGTCCCTGATTCCATTTTTCTTAATTTTAATTAATTTACTAACATGCTTTCCTTGGGCTCTGTCTGCCAGAAATTCATGAGAAAACTGGAAGGTGAAAGAATAAAGTTATTCGAGGCTCAAAAAAACCCGCCATAAAATGCATCATTTTCAGTAAAATAAAATAACAGCAGTGAAATACAACATGAAGCTGAATTTTTGTCTGGTTTCACAGTAAACAATGTTCCACCAAAAAAATCTTAATTTGTAATAGGGAAATTTTTTTAGGGAAAGTATACAACATTGCTATATCTTTAAGTTAGAAATAATAAGCTGCTTTCACCTGATAAGTCATGGTGAATAAGGTCAGCAAAATTGGGGTCTTCACCCCACCAAAATATCCACAATTCTCTTCTTCCAGGTCTCTGATCACGCCGCCAAACACCAAGTACATCTGCCTTAAGGCAGCGACTAAAACTGCTCAAAATGGGGTCTTCCTCCGTCACCGGAAACAGAATGGGGGCAGAAGTCGGGCCTTGCCACACGTATCGTTTCCATTTAATTCCCGTCAAGTCAGCCTGAGGAAAAGAAAGGATGATTTTTTTATTATTGCATATTCACTCAAAATCAAAAGTCCTCACTATTAAATTCCCCTATTTCATTAAGACATTACAATTTTTCAACATATCCTTAGGATACTGAAAACTGACTGACCAAAAAAGAAAGGGGGAAAAAAAAGCTTATTCTGATAATTCAACAACCAAAAATTAAAGGAAAAGAACAAAGACAATGAAAAAATTAATATTGACATGTCACTGAATACGTCAATAAATGTGTCCCAAGGATAAATGAAAAAACTTTAATAATGTTAAATATAAACACAGACTTTAATACTGCACACTAAGGAGACAATTCGTTCTCAGTCCTAAATTCTATTCTTACTGGTTACATTTGTTTCTTGGTGTCAAACTTGCTACAAAATTAACTTTTAAAGATTCATCATTCCATGTTTATAGAAGTCACAGCTCTAACGAAAAGAAATCTCAACTACAATTGAAAACATTCTTGTTAAATCTTTACACATCCCTTTAAGGAAAAGTCAAATAGCTGCTCACAAAGAACCGTCAGATTTGCTAGTCTTATCTTCAAAGAACCTGATCCTGAAAGTACCAAAAATAGACTGAGTTGGAGAAGACAGAAATGTAAAACCTGCTGTTTGTCTACTATAACTGAAGAGATGCTGATTAATGGATATTGTACAAGAAACTTTTTATAAGGGGGAAGGGCATTAAAGATCTCAATTTAGTATCGTAAAAGAAATTATCAGCGTGAATTCAGTAATTCTTTAATCTAACTTAAAAGTGCAAACTTAAGGTGCCAAAAATGAAACTGCTGATACATGACTGGCAGTTTACACTTGCCAACTAGTTGTACTCCGCCCACTCAATTCACTTACCTATCACACACTCTCTTAATATTTCTCATAGGACAAGGAAAATGAAAAAAAGAAAGTTACCGAAACTTCAAATCATTGATGACGCTAAGCTCCTATCCCAACTGCAGACTATATATTTGCAACAGTTGGTACTTTTCAAAGTCTTTATTGAGATGTTCCCAGAACGGGGCCAACCAACACAACTGCCATCCGTAGAGGCAGTTTCCCCTGACTTTTCAATAAGAGGAGGAGCAGCCTTCTGTATAAAAATATTTAGTCCAGAACCATAGGATCTCTTTCATAAGTTCGCTCCACTCTCACAAACCCAGTGTTCTAATAAAAGCAGGTCGGCTAGAGATTGTCAAAACAGCAAACTGTTTTCAAAGTTTAAAAGAAAAACTACGGAATGGCATTCACTTTTTTTTTTTTAAGAGTCTGAAGTCACCCAAGGAACAAACGAGCCCCCTACAGTTTGACTCATCTTTATTTAAAAAAAAAAACACGTAAAATTAAAGGAGTGCTAAGTTCCGGGGTCCCGTTTAGTGGGGGAAAACAGAGGAGCAGAGCCAGGCAGTGGGCGAATGGGCAATAATAGAAAGTGGCAGAAAAGGGATACACGGTCAGTAAGGAAGGAGGCCAGCAACAGTTAAGCCAGCAACACAAGAGGAAAATGCCGCTGTCCTGCCAGGAAAGGAGCCCAAGTTGGGAGACAGGACTGCGGGTGAGAAAAGTGTCGGAAACGGGAGAAAAGGCCGACGCTCCTCGGGCAGCCCGGGACGGCGGGCGGGGACGGCGGCTCCGGGCCGGTGCGGGGCTCCCGCGGCGCCGGCTCGGGCCGGGCCTCGCCCGGGGACTCGGGCATCTGGATCCGACCCGGACCCCCTCCCCCACGGCCCAAGGGCGCACCTCGCGCCCCTCCCCCACCGCCCGCCCGCCGCGGCCCCCGCCCGGCACTCACCAGGCAGAAGAGGTTACAGTGACAATCTTCCAGGCTGGCCCCGTTCGGCACGAAGGAGGAACTCATCGTCCCTCACAGCAGCCGCCGCCGGCGCCACAACCCACCATCCGCCATTACCGCCGCCTCCGACCAGAGAGAGAAACAGACACCGGGGAGGGCGGGGGGGTGGTGGTTGGGGGGGCGGTGGAAGAGGAGGCCGCCGGGCCGCCCGCCCTCCCCACCCACCCCCCCGCCCTCCCCACCCACCCCCCGCCGCCGCGAGCTGCCCCCGCCGCCCGGCCGGCACCCAGCCGCCCGGGGCCGAGGGCCGGAGGCGAGAGGGCCGCGCCGCGCTCGCCCCGCCGGCCGGGCTGCGGCCGCCGCGGAGCCCGCGGACGCTCGTCCCTCTTCGGGGGACGGAGGGGATGTGTGCCCCTGCCACCAGAAAGAATAATAAATTACAGAATAAATAATGAAAACCGAGTCCGAGAGGGCAGAGCCCGAGCCCCGGAGGGTGCTCCCGGGGTGGAGAGGCGCCCGCAGAGGGGCGGGAGGGCGAGAACCCGGAGAGAAGCCCAGGCCCCCGGCCCGGCGGCGGCGATGTCCTTAAGCCCAGAGTCTCCTCAGTGGCGGAGGCTGGTGGAGGCGTCTGCGGGCTCAGACCATTCTCTGGCTGTGTCTTCGTGTCGTCCCTGAGCCAGACCGGCCTAACGTCCGCTCTCCTGCGGCCTCACCGCCGGGACGCCGTAGTCTCCCCCATTTTGTGGGCCCAGCGGGCGGTGTTTTTCCCCCTTTAATCCGAATTCACGGGTTTTCCCTTCGCTTTAATGGCGGCCACAGGGACCAGCTCGCCCTCTCTGCTCGCCCATTGGCCGCCTGGAGGTCACGTGGGCCCAGGCTCCGTGGGGAGGGGGAGAGAGAAGGGAGTGAGGGAGGGCCGGGAAGCTTTCAGCTGAGGCGCTCAGCCCCGGGGGACGGGGCAGCCGGCTGGTGGCCACCGAGACAGCGCCATCTGCTGGGTGCCCCGGCCAGCGTGCGGTGACCCGGGCCCCGGCCCTCTCTCTCTCTCCTTGCCGGGCAATTGACAGCACCAGAGGGTTCACATCACAGATCTGAGAATTATGTTGGAATCAGTTTGAATTCTTTGGAAGAAAAAAGTACTGCAAAAATTCCAAGCCATTCTCACTTATTCCTCGAGGCCGTTGGGGTGCGGTACAAACCCCTGGGCTCGGGCATCAGATCCTCTGAGACCGGACCCGGCCACTCGAAAGTCGGGATATTAAGAAAGAAACATACAGCAAACAATATAGCCTTGTGGTTCACAGCCGGGGAGTTAGAGTTACACTGCCTGGGTTCGAACTTGGAGCAGATCACTCACCTGCGTCCCAGTTTACTCATCTGTGAAATGAGGAGGACATACCGTCTCCCTCACCGGTTGTTGTGGTAAATGAGTTAATACAAAGAGAACACATAGGTAAGCCCCGTGCCCGGCACAGATAAACACTGCTTAGACTATCTGTTACTGTTGTCATCACTACCTCATGTGGTTATTGTGAGGAGTAAGGGACCCAGTGTTTGTAAAATGCCCACTGACAGTCATCTCCGTGAGCACCGGCACGCACTTTGCTTTTCCGCTGTATCTCCACTGTCTAAAAAAGGTTCCTAGCACACAGTAGGTGCTTGATATTTGTGAATTTGCGACTGAATGGAAAGAAGTAGGAGCCAAATTAAATGTTCGTTCCCGTTCCCCACAAAACAGTTCAGTTCTTGATTGGATCATACTTCAACGAAGGAACTCAAGACATTTTCCCTAAGTTTTAGAAGGGAGAGAAGGGGAGAGAGATGGAAAGGAAAGAGAGGGGCGAGGGCAAAAGAAGGAAAGAGGGAAGAAGGGAGGGAGGAAGAAGTAAAGGTGATTCAAAAAATTGGAGACATCATCGAGTTAGGACTTTACCATAATTTTTCATCTTAGGTGCCTCTGTAAAATGATGGTGGATTCTTCTATGTTCCTTATTCAGCCACAGATTGAAAAGCCTTCCTCCTGTATTGATTCATATATGGTAGTGAAGAGACCAGATCTTGAAGCCAAAAACCTACAGGAGAAGTTCTGCCACTTACTAGTTGATCTTGGATCAAATTTGACTTTAAATCAAATTAATTTCTCTGCTTTCAATTTTCTCATTGTAAAACAGGGGTAATAAAAGTACTTTCCTCCTAAAGTGTCTGGTGGATGAAACATTGCAGACATAGGGTTTGCCACAGTGCTTGCTAAATCTTAGCCGTTAATATACTTTAAAAAATCATTATTGAGCACCTATTATTCATATGAATGTGTTCCTGGTCTGTGCTAGGCCTGGGATACAAATATGAATACGATATATGCATAACCCTAAATACTTTGGCCACCTGATGCAAAGAACTGACTCATTAGAAAAGACCTTGATGCTGGGAAAGATTGAAGTAGGAGGAGAAGGGGACGACAGAGGATGAGATGGTTGAATGGCATCACCAAGCAAGTTCTGGGATTTCGGGAATGGCAGGGAAGCCTGGTGTGCTGCAGTCCACAGGGTTGCAAAGAGTTGGACAGGACTGAGCAACTGAACTGACTGAACTGAACTGAAAGATTCCTGAAGCAAGGCAACAAAGGAACCATTTCCCACAGGATAAGATAAAATACAATGTAGGTAATTGCTTGAATAAGGTATGTATCAACTGGCACGATAGGAGTGCTGGAGGAGCACCAAAGTCAGAGAAGGCGGCTCAAAGTAGGTAGCATTTGAAATCAGATTTGAAGGATAAAATGAATTCTTATAAAGCCCTTTGAAGCAGTTAAATCTTATTAAACCCAATTCAGATCCAAAGGCCACATATCAAAGTCAATTATGCAACCAGGACTAATTCAATCCAGGAGCTCAAATCAACTAAAGTTCATATCCTTTCTAACTAAGTTCCTGCACTGGGAGACTGCAATCTCCAGACCCAACAAGGTAAGAGACCCTCTGCTCATCTCTCTTTCCCAGAGAGAATCCTCAAGCCCTCGCTCCCACTGCTTTTGTCACTCTGAAAAGTTCTCCCCCATCATTTATTTTATATAAAACCAATCTTTTTAGAAGTCTCGCCCTCCACTGTCTTGCCCCCAATTTGATCACCCTCCTTAGGACTCCAGAGGCAGACAGGATCTGCCTGAAACCCACCTGATGGGAAGTAACATATTGACTGGCATTTCATTTGAGTGTATCAATCTTCCCCTAAAGACAGGGATGGTGGGTGGCCAAGAATGGAAGGAAGAGGTAAAAAGTAAAGAAAAATTGAGAGAGAAAGAAAGGAAAAGCAAAGTGGAAGAAAGAGACATCAACAGTGAGAGGAATGGAAACATCTTGAGATCTTGGGGAGGAGATAAAAGAGCAGTATATCATAGCCATCCACATTCTCTTAAAATGGCATTTTGTGTGATATAAAGAATAAAAAATAAAAACAGTATGTGTACATTGTCAAAAGTTTGGAAGACACAGGAAAATGTAAAGGTGAAAACATTTTAAATGCACATGCTGCCTCCTCCCCTTGTAAATGCCATGAGCACGTCACCATTCACAATTAACTGTCAAATGTATATATATAGGGAATATATCTATATATATACATGCATAATATATTCCCTACATGGTTGAAGTCATACCATAATACATTTTACTACACACACTTGGCATCTAGAATGTCAGTCAGGTCATGAAATGATAAGGTACAGGATATACAAGGAACTCATTCATAATCTTGCTAGATACGGCATTTAGACAGTTGAACAAAGTAGTATCAAAACTCCACAAAATGCTTGCCAGTCCCTTAACTTCTGTTTACTCATTTGTAAAATGTATTACTATGTCATAATAGTACCTACATTTTACTGTTGTGATGACAAGAGGTAATTCAAGTAAAAGAGAAGAGCCAACCAGAAATCTCAAGATGAATCTAGAGGTGCTTTGAGTTGTCTTCTACTCTTTGAATTGTGGATTCAATGATCTACATTTAAAACTGTTCTTTAACTTCTTCATCCTTTTATGGGTTCCATCCTGAGTGAGAAAATGGAGATGCCAAGCTTCCAGGAAGGGTGACAGTTACATCACCTGAGGCTGAGAAAGTCCAGGAAAGGGCAGTGTTTGTCCTTAGGATAGTGCTCCCCTCCTGGTTCTGAAAAAAGCCAGGGTCTCGAGCAGTAGCAATAATAAGAGCTAAAGAAGTAATTAAATGTTTTTCGTAGCCACATTCAAAGACAAAAAAAGAAATAAGTGAAATTATTTTGTACTGTATTTGGGTTTCCCCGATGGCTCAGCAGGAAAGAATTTGCCTTCAATGCAGCTGTCACAGGAGACGCAGGTTCAGTCCCTGGGTCGGGAAGATCCCCTGGAGGAGAGCATGGCAACCTTCTACAGCGGAGAATCCCATGGACAGAGGAGCCTGGCGGGCTACGGTCTATAGGGTCGCAAGGAGTAGGACACAACTAAAGCGACTTAACATGCACATACTCTATTTATCCTAATATAACATAAATACTATTATTTCACATGTAGTCAACATAAAAATTTATCATTGGGATATTGTTTTTCAATCAAAACATTAAAATCTTTATATATTATATTTTCACTTATAGCACATTTCAGTTTAGTCTAGTTGCATTTCAAGTGCCTTATAGCCACATGTAGCTAATGCTAATGTGGTGGATAATACAAGTTTACAGTCAAAAGCTAAAGCTAAGGACCAGTTAAGCTGTGGAATGAACAGTCTTCAGCCTGGGGACAATATTGATTTTCTTAAGGTCATGTTAATGGTTTAATGTTGTACTTAATTCAATAGAAAACAAAACGCTGAGGCATCACAAACTATTTTATTTAGTGAATGCACAGACACTACTTAGTTAAAGATAGAAATAAACAGATACCCTTGGACTGCAAGGAGATCAAACCAGACAATCCTAGAGGAAATCAACCCTGAACATACATTGGAAGGATTGATGCTGAAACTGAAGCTTGAATACTTAGGTCACCTGATGCAAAGAACCAACCCATGGGAAAAGACCTTGATGTTGGGAAAGA